ACCCACGACACAGGAGAAAATCCTAGTGTGGGGCAACGTTAAAAAAAAACTTGTATATTCTATCGGTAAATTGTTTTTTATAGTTTGTGACGCAAAATTGAACCGTTAAAACTCAGTTCACGCAAAACGGACAGTTAACTAGTTTATGAAACTGTTGCTTTAGGTATATCATTAATATCTAAAGGTAAACTGTTAGCTAAGACCAAATTTCGAGAGTCGAGTTATGAAATGTTACCAGAACTTTTAATGGACTGCATTCAGTTAGTTCTATGCAAAACTGCGTCATTTCATGCAGAAATACAATATTAAATCTTAGCACACATCGCATTCGCAGTTTGCGTTTATCTAGGGAATTATGTGAAGTAATTTTGAAATGTTATAATTTAGGAAGTTAGTGGAAGTTGTTAGTGAAAATTCCCCGCAGTATTGCCAGTTTTATCTATTAGACTGGTCGGATTTACGTTCAGTGTATCTACCGAGCATTTAAGTTTAAACAGGTATTTAGTTTATTAAACTTTTCACCCTCGTTTCACTAAGCCCCATGTTTCAATTACGTAGATATGTTTTGACTGAATATTTAGTTGGTAATTATTTTAATTTAAATTCTGAAATGTGTTTCGTTTGACTGGGATCTAAAAATGTAATTACACAAATGGAAATTGCAAAGCTTAAATTATTTACTGATGTACACTGAATTGATGTAGCTGTTTTTTAAATACCATTGTTATGACATGTATTGTACTTAATCATAATAGGCAAAATAGTAACAAAACGATATAGCCTAAGTAGACTGTATTACGTAAAGAGAGGAGTACCTAACATTTAATCCTACCAGCTATATGAAGCAACAATGCAAAATTTACACAAGCTAGAAGCAAAGCGAAACTGGTTGAAATTAGAATTGGTTTTCTTAATCGGCTGAGGTGGGAGCCTCGCTCGCTTCAAGCCTGTCGCTTCCGAAGCTCGGCTGTTTTCAATATACCTCCAAATTGCTCCATTAAAACTTTTCTAACTGCCTTCAAACCGAATCGTTAACGCTTCGCCTAATACTGAATGTTGGACAATGACAGGAATATAGTCAATGAATATCGCATTATTGTCTCTTCAAAAAGCCTTTGAGACGGCGACGACGTGGAGTGTTACTTTTTTGATGACATTTTATTTTAATGAAAAAATATGTTTATTCTTTTAGTAAAAGGTATCATTATGGTATGAGTAAAAATTATGATCGCTTACATATAAACATAACCTACAAGAAGAGATTCATTTAATAGTTAGTTTTTGTTCGTGCACCGCGATGCTCTCGGCTGTATGCAATACAAAATAGCTCCATATTTTTACAAGAACCCAAGAAAACTTCTTCAAGCTGTATAATCATACTCTACACGTACAAGTGGTAAAGTTAAACCAGTATTTGGCATACTTTCAAACTTGCACTGTCTGCCACGCGCTTTGTCTGTTTTCCACTTTTTGTATTCCGATTAAAACATGCAGTCGCTCTTTCCATTCCACCTCTATTCATGTATGCGATGCACTTGAACGAATTTCACAGGAAGGTGTGTGGCAAACAGCACCCGGGAGCGAACGTCATCGTGCTTAAAATAGAAGAATACTACCTATCGTAAATATCGGCTGCAGTTCCAAGGAGACTGTTCAATAAAACAGAAACTACAGCGGAGGAAATAATGAAAGTGTAAACCTGAATTTTGTTGCATGCTCGATGCAGTGCAGTATTGGTGTTCGGAAATGAAATTCTTTGACTGTATCATTTCGCTATTCAAAGAGCATAAAAATTCTAAGAAAAGTTGGCTCACATATAAAAGGCTCAGCACTAATGTTTGTATAAATCGTACTTACCTACCTGGGCTGCCTCGGCATCCAGTACGTTAGGTGTTTTGAATGCGAGGCCAAATTGACTCCATTAAAAGTTTTGAAAGCGCTCGTAGCTTAGATAATTTACTGTGAGAGTTATGCCGTCTATAAAAGCATACGTGGGTACTGAAAACTAATGAATTTATGTTTGTGTTTATATTTTCGACGGTACTTAACTTTGTTAAGTCGAAGCTTAATGCTTTATGTATAATAGGCAAAGTAACAGCTACTTACGTACCTCTACCTGTCAGTTTCATATTTGTTTGAAAATTAACCTATTAAATACATACATATATACATAACTTCACGCCTGTCTCCCGTGGGGGTAGGTAGAAACAATACTACGCCAATTACTACGATTGCTACATATCTCTTTCGCTTCATCAACAGTCATCAATCTTTTCATGCATGCTCATCGGTTAAGGGCTATTAAATACTACCTAATAAATATCATAAGTGCAGATACGACTTAAAATAATCTACCTACTCGAATGATTGTCGTAGAGGAAGCTTATGGGTACTCAAACTTTATATCCAATCGCTTAAATGGCGTTTGTGTCTCCACTCAACGAATATCTGCTTAAGAGAGGATATTGCTGGAGAATATAGTATAATAGGTTCTTCCTATAAACCTATAGAGATTTGAAACTTAATGAGCTTTCTGAAAGCTAAGTGAAAAGTATGGGACACTAGATTGCTTGCTGGCTTTCTTCCAGTAACAGATACGTATCCTAAAGCATTCAAATCAGTCAAATTTTGCTTTAGGAACAGTCATTTTTGCCTTTTACCTTCTTTCTTTAATTTGTAATGACATTGTGTCATTAAATATCGTGTCAAACTTCGTAAAACAGTCAAAATGCTGAAAGATTTATCAAGATTGGTCTTCATAATATCTACACGTAGGTTTCTATCCACATGTATTTATATTTTATCGTGAACAAACTTTTCCTTTGAAATTGTGGTGATCTCACAGGGGACGAGACCCCATAATTGATAAGAGAGTATAGGGACACAGGACGCAGTAATTAGGGAGCGGGGAAGCAATTATGACTTTAATAGGAGTAGGTACGATGCTCGTAGACTATGTTTGCTCCTTAATAATGTTATATGTTGCTTTGTTGAACGATAAATTTGATAATGGAACTATTACATACAAACGAACAATCAGTTCTATTGTTTATGCGTCGGGCTATGCATATTTTGAAGTTCATTTACCAACTACGTTATGTAGGAACAATTGATGGGTATGATTGTTACTCTTTGATTGCTCCTTTAGATATTACGTAAGTGTGACTATTGATAAAGGGGCGGGCTGTAGTCAATTGGATCTTTTTATTTTCATAATTTTCATTCGGTGCTAATAGATAATCTAGACCTTTGCACCGTTTATAGCAGAAGCAACAGACTCGCCTCTATACTACGCAAAATTTACAATAAAGCTGTAACTACGATTGGTAAATAATATTTTCTACATTATCCTCCGGATAGTAAATCAGGCATATTTGTTATGCAATTACCTGTCTTACCTATTCAAAGATTTTTGTAACACACTGATAGTACCTACCTACAGTTACAGTAAGTAACTTAACGATGACGCTTAACTGAGTTCAAGCGTCGTAAGTAAGCTCTTTGTATACTTCTTAAAAGCTGCATAAAAACTGGATAGAGGGTTCTGGTGACCAAGTAAAAGAAGCGATCAGGAACACGATGGCAATTAACTGAATGAATGAAAATGAATTAACTGAACTGATGAATACATAAGAGCCGCGCATCATCTCGTGTGGTAGATTTCCGTGACATTTAAATAAACGTCTAATCAATCACGATTTATGACGTTTTGGAAAATTGTTCTGGGCAGATAGCAGTCATCCATGTGAAACATATCTAATTCATCTGAATTTTGCTAAGACTCAAAACCGTGGCCTATCTAGCTGGGAAAATATCAGGTTAAATATCACCCAACATCTACCTAGTTTCTTTACAGGTTATTTTCTAGTCTAAAATACCCAAATATGTACCTGACGCTGTGACCCACAGCAGCGCATATTTACAAAGCCAAAGCTCCATCGCTATGGCTTTACGCTATGCAAATAACACTACCCCGGTTGAATAAAGAAACAAAATCCAGTGACTCAATGCTTTTTTATTTTATTTATACCTTAGGTGCCTAGTTATTTACTTAGATCTTCTAATAAGCAAGTCGTTTCGATATATGAAACAAAAATGATAAGTACCTACCATAAATTAATGATAATTATTAATCACTGCTTCGAAACTGCTTATATCGTGGTGGCCCGGAGGTTTATGACGCCCGCTTCTCATATATGAGGGTGCGGGTTCGAAAACTACCAACGGCAAGTACCAATTTGACTTTTTCCGAGTTATATGTAGTTTCTAACATTATTCAGACACCACTGACAAACGGTGAAGGAAAACATCGTAAGGACCTGGGCTTATCATTTTAAATTATAAGTTTGTAATCGCCAACCCACATTGAGCAAGCGTGGTGATTAATGCTCAAACCTTCTCCGTGTGAGAAGAGGCTTTGCTCAGTAGTGGGCATTAATAGGCTATTGATGATGACTGCTTCGAAATACCTAATTTAGGTGATCCCTCTGCTTGTCTGCCTATTATTCCGTAAAAAAATACATACAAATAAAATTTAACATTATTTACTACCTACTCGCTAGTCGCAATCAATGAGTTATAAATAAATAAACCCATGTGGATGTTACAATGAATTGTATTTTTTGTCTTTACATGCTGTTTTAAGTCATTTAGAGGATTATCGGGCTGGGCAAAACTGGGCTATCTAACCATTTTTTTTTTGTAAGAAGTTGTAGTAGTACTTTTGCAGACTTGAGATATTTACAAAAACGGGTACGATCTCTTTGCATCCTTGCAACATAATTATTATTAAAATTCAGGAGTATCGAAAATGTTCGTTAATTTACCAATGCTTAGAAATATCGCGCTTTATCTCTAAATCATGAAAAAAGTGTCTACAGAATAAGAGATAAAAAGCCCAGGTTGCAAAATGAAGTTGCAACTTGACATGGTAGTTTTTTGACAACTGACAGTATAAAAATTAATGACGTTTCGTTTGTCAATAATTGTTTGGGCGGCAGGCTGTTGTGTGATTGTGCCGGGAATTCCTCTTTCGTATCTTATCCGATTGACAATAATCATATAGCTGATTTTATTAAATTCTAAGGGGTACATTAGAGTATTCGCCATGACGTACGGTAAATTTCATAGGTTCTTTTTAAGAACAGTGGCGAGTCAAGGTGCTGTATCAATGAGCGATGCTCAAGAAATCGTGCAGAAATTCAACGGTGAGTAACTAAAACTACGTATTTTTCAGAGTCCCAGCCTAAAACGTTCATTGGTTGTTCATAACCATACTTATCATTTGTTTTGACCAAGCAGTTGTAGCAATACTTCTTTGTAAGGCTACGCAAGGATGCTCACTGCTAAAGCAGCTACTATTTGCATGTTCTAATTAAAATATAATTTGTATTAATCACAGCATACTGTATGCTGTGTTTTACTCATAAAAGTTCATATCTTTATTGCATACACTCATACCTTTATACATTTTGAAGACTTCAGAATATGCACTTCAACACTCTAATTACTGTAATATATATCTTCTCTATTTACATTGAATTAATAGCTATTGTTCGTCATTGGTTATCTGTAAGTGATAATAGCACTTGTAAGTAATAGGTATCATTGTGTGTACCCGATAATCATATTAAAATTAGCATAATAAACTTCTGTTTATTACTCAAAATATATAGAAGTTTGCTATATTAAACTGTCAAACACCAAGCGGTCACCGGTGAACGCAACATATTGTTCTATAGTTGTGTCTATAATGACGGTACTCGACGAGTTAAATTTGTTTCATGACTAGTCATAATCAATATTAATATATATATATTTTTTAATATTCCAGATGAAGAAGAAACATCAGTGCAGGATGTGGTAAAATCAATCAATGATGAAATTAGACAATTTCAACAAGAGATAAAAATAACTAGCGATGAGGTCACAAATGAAAAAGTTATTGTTTTCTTGTCTCTCGGCTATGATGAAGCAACCAAAGCCCAGAATATATTTTCTGCAAATGAATTGGAATATTTCAGAGTTCTCCTTGAACAGATTATGACTACAGAGTCAAGACAGATTACAGGAATGAATGCTATTAATTTAGCAAGTAGTATGAAATCGACTTTTACTAAATCTGATGCACAAGTGAGTATAATTGTAACACCAAGTTCTGAACTGGGTGCTTAGGTACTCATGAAACTAATACCAATGTCAATCCAATTAAATCTCAATAATTTTTTAATGTCAACACTATACAACTTTAATCTTAGTAACTGCTTCATACTGCATATAAAGCCAAACTCAATACCATCTAGTTCATTAAATATTCACACAATATGAATGTAATGGACACTACTGTTGCAAGAGTATGAAATTTTACAATGTCAATTCCGATTGATTGGAATTGAATTCAAGAGTAAGGTGGGCGAGATAGTGGCCAAATATTGTCCCATCAAATATAAAATAAGCCCCTGGTATGTTATGAGCCTAAAGTAATAAAGGGGAAGTACTGAATATTATAATTTTATTTTTTTTATGGCATAAGCCGGGAAACAAGCAGATGGATCACCTGATGATAAGCAATCGGCGTCGCCCATGGACACCTGGAACACCAGAGGCATTACAAGTGCGTTTAACAATTGGGAAGATTGGGATTTTCAGCTAAGAATGAAGGAAACATTATTCACAGTTCTCTTCAGGGATCCAATATAATTTGTTCATTAATTTTACATTGTAACTATTTCAGAGAATGCTGAACATTTGGCATAGAATGAAATACTTGGACAAGGATCAAAACAACTATGCTTTAGGTGTGAGAGCAGTGCACGAGTTTGAAGGTTATATTCGCCAAAACATGCCAGATGCTGTTGAACAATGTTGTCTGTGCAAACAGACAGTTTTTAGAGTAAGTTCCTAGTGTACCTATATCTTGATCATTTTCAATTGTGCCAGGGCCTTAACTAAATCCTATATTGATTAAGTTTAGGCCATGGTAATTGCAAAAAACACGTCATGTGGCTGGTCATTTGATGTCCGCCTTAATTAAAGACATAGGAGAGAAGGATGTCTTGGTTACATTGTATTCTGGCAGAGCAAGCGGAAACGATTAGGTGTCTAGCCATCGGCTCTTACTAATTACCCAAAGTTTGTTACCCTTCGTTTCGTACAGCCAACTGGTACTGGAACTGGATTTTGGTGTTACATTGTTCTCGCACAATCAAACCCACAAAACTATGTAACTAGAGAATTGCGTTGTGAACATGATTGAATAAGAGCAACCTATGGAGTTTCTTGCTCGTTCTTCTACATAGGAATGTTCTTCTACATTGGAATGAGCAAGTAGTTTTAATTTTTTTTTGTTGACATTCATAAGTGCCTTACTGGTCAATTAAAAGAAATGATTTTGAATTTGACTAAATTTACAATATATATATATTCAGTACAAATTCAACAGCAGAATAATCTAAATTTTTCTTACAAAACTGTGTAAACTATTGCTTCTAACTTGATTACACAATCAAGTTTGATAGTTAACCATAATTTCAATGTTTGATGTTGATCTTGTTATGTTACAGAATTGGTCAGAAGTGTTATTAATTTATATATTGTTATTTAGCACCTGTCTGTTTTAACAACGTCTAGATATACGCTATGTCTAGTACATAAAGAATTGATAATGTTATTTAAATGGACCATCTGCTACAAAAGTTTATCAGGTACTTATACACGGTGTAAACGGAATGTTCCCAAAAATACTTTTTAAAATATTATCACTTTTTGTGTTAGTAATGCAAAATTAACCTTGATTACAAGTATCATTACATAAAAAAAACATTTGATTTCTTACTTTTATGAAATAAAACTTGTTTTTTACCATCAGCTGTCGGCGTTTTTAAGAGTGTTCCGTTTACCCTGTATAGAGGTGGTGAAACAAGTGAGTCCCATAAATCCTTACAGTGTAGACTATCACAGGTTGCCGTTGTTTATGATAAATCTGATCGAATGTGACTATATAGACTGTGAAGTGAAGTCGTATGCAGAGCTGCATGTTACGGCACTTAATGTCACCGTACAATGTAACACTCACTTTTCACTATTTATGATATGAGTCCCAATTAATAAGGGATGAGCCTATTGCTATATACTGGGCACATTTCCAGACTCTGTGTGTAGTTATTGTTATTAACAAATTTAATGGTATGGTTCCAGGGTTACAATTGTCCAGCGTGTGCATTGGCCATTCACAACCGATGTCTGATGGGCTACCTAGAGAAGATACAAAAATGGCCCTGCTGCAAGGTTGATTTTGACCAATCCCAGCTTGATCGACTCACTAGCGCTGGGTAAGTATTTTGATTATAAACCTTTTTTTAAATGACATAAACAACTGAGTAGTACTTTAAACAGATTGTTAATGAAACATTTGTTTTTTAAATTTTGCCCCATACTATAGTTAGAATTTTAATTAGATTCCAGATTTGACAATAGCTACTGTCATTTTGTGAAATAATGATACCACATATAATAGTGTAGTGATGAACACAAAAATCGATAAACAATAAGTGTGTGTGTTTTATAATAAATGTTACAGAAAGTGACAGGATAGCGATAGCGATGACGGCGACAATTTATAAAATAACTTATTACCATAATACATCTATCTGTTTTATTTGTCATGTTCCTTCATGATTACATTTTTTTATTTATTTCACACACAATTATAAAAGAAAAGACACAGATCGTTAATTAATCATCAAAGCTAAATTATCGGTTCAGAAATATTTAATTTCCTGATATACGTAGTTTACGAGAGTAAAATTATAAACGAGAAGAATCGATCCAGAAATATTGCATTTCCATATCGAATATTTTCGCAACGTCACTATTTAGTACTTTTTTTTTATCTGTTTTTTTTTTTTACAAAACGTTGCCCCACACTAGGATTTTCTCCTGTGTCGTGGGTGCGTTTACAAACATACAAGTTCACATACACAATGACCGTGCAGTTGTCATAACGTTGCAACACTGAAATTGTCAAATCTGGAATCGAATTAAAATTCCGAGTATAGTCTTTTCTCCTGTATCATGGGTGCCGTTATAAACATTCAATTTCACACACACATGACACCCCGAAACAACAAATTGTGGATCACACAAAGAGTCGTCCTGTGCGGAATCGTTTTCGTTACACGTTGCGTGGCAGCCAGTTGCCAGTCACCGCGCCAACTGCAGTTCTTTTGGTCTGCGGCATAATTATTATTATTCATCCATACGCTATGGGATTTTTCAAATCATGCTATGCAACGTTTTTGAAGTTAAATATTGATATATTATGATATGGTAAATGTTTAGTTTTATTAATGCTCTTGTTTTGTTTTTTTAATTAAACATTTACCAAGGATTTTTTTTATGGTAAGTATATTTACAAATACTTTCACATACATCACATAAAGAATTATTTCAAACATATTATGTTGCGAAACATCCAGTTATTCAAAATGTGAACAGCTAGTGAAAATGTGAACCTACATAATCATGGTGTCTTTGTTAACTATTCAATTAACTCGTAGAGTACCGGTTTTGTAGACACAATTATAGAAAAAGAGAAGAGCGTACTCCTTTTTAAAGGGCCGGCAACGCACCTGTGACTCTTCTGGTGTTGCGGGTGTCCATGGGCGGCGCTGATTGCTTACCATCAGGTGATCCGTCTGCTCGTTTGCCTCCTATTCCATAAAAAAAAATAGGTTGTGGTCACCGGTGACCGCTTGGTGTTTGACAGTTTAATCAACAGAAAACACATAACTTCACGCCTTTTATCCCCGAAGGGGTAGGCAGAGGTGCACATTTACGGCACTTAATGCCACTGTACAATGCAACACCCATTTTTCACTATTTATATGTTTTGAGTTCCGTGTAATAGTATAGCCTTTTGCCATCTGGCAAATGTACCGGAATGTACCGAAAATGTGCCTGGTATGTACTGGGCAGTGGGCACATTTCTAGACTTAGTGCTACTAGTTGCTGAGAATTTAAAAAAAAACCAGGAGTACTTTGCCCGACCCGGGAATCAAACCAGAGACCCCTTGCTCGGCAGTCGCATTAGCGAGGCAGTTAACAGAAAAGTTCAACTCCTTTAACCCGTGGTATACGTTACCCGTGGCCGGAACATAGATCTATGCTAGACGCAATGTATTTTCAATTGTATCTATTATACCAGCACTCAAAGGGTTCATCCAAAAATTACACGATAAGGCAAAAACATTCACAATCATTCTAAAACTAACCCTTAAACAGTTCCAGATTATTATCGCAGTCACAAGCCAATACAACACAAGATACAGAGGAACAAAGCATCGAGGTACAACCCACCCAAACGCAGGAGTCAGAAAGCATGGAATTAGACATAACACAGGAAGTTATTCCAGAGATATCACAAAGGGTGACTAGAAAGAGAAAGCGACAAAATTGAACATATCAATGACTAGACATTTTAATTTGGTAAGGTTATCTTTTTGTTCTGTAGTTTGGTAGTTTTGTTTGTTGTTATCTAACCAGAAAAATAAAATTTCTTAATTGTATTTGTGTTAGTTGCCAGGTACAATTTTAGGGTCTGTGTGCTTGTTATTGAATTTTCTACTGTATTGTTACAGTTTTATAGTTATTTTTTGTTTGTCCCATAAAATACCTCGGCATGTGATGTGAATTCATTAGTGAATGAAGAAGGCTCAATACAAAAAAGTTTTTATAATTGTGGTTGGTTTTTAGTGTATGTAATTTAGATTACTTATTTTTTGTAATTGTAATAATATTTTTAGAGTAATTATTTGTTTTTTCATACATTTTTTTATTGATTTGTATCTTAGTTATAAACTTAAACTACCGACTGGTCGCAAGTGCGACTGCCGGGTAAGGGGTCTCGGGTTCGATTCCCGGGTTGGGCAATGTATTACTGGGTTTTTAAAAAAAATCTCAGTAGTAGCACGGAGTCTGGAATTGTGCCCGGTATATGACAATAGGCTAACCCCCTATTACATGGGACTCATAACATAAATAGTGGAAAGTGGGTGTTACATTGTATAGTAGCATAATGTGCACCTCTGCCTACCCCTTCTGGGATAATGGGCGTGATGTTATGTTATGTTATCTTAGTTATATCTTGATAAACAATATTGAGAATTGGACAGCTTAAGGTAGGTCCTTGTTACACTAAGAATTACATTTGGAGTTAAGTTGAATGATTGTTTTTGTTACGTCATGAGTAATATGATGCAGATATAAATTAATATCTAGTTAGAAATGCAAACAAGTACTCTTTATACATATTTTATGTCTAATATCTTTATTTGTATTCAATTTGTATTAAAATCCTTCTAATTTATTCAGCGAGCGTGATTGATACGTTCTGGTGGGTTACTCTTGAATCCAATTCCGATCGATCGACATTGGTATTGCGAAATTTTGTACTCTTGAGTTGCAACACTAGCGCCCATTGCATCCGTTATGGATATTGAATGAACTAAATGGTATTGAGTTTGGCTTTATATTCCGTACTCTGAATACTATTGTAACAGCTACGATTGTGGTTGTATAGTGTTGACATTGAATAATTATTGAGATTTTATTGGATTGAAATTGCATTGACATTGAGATTGGTTTCAAGAGTAAGCACCCTGTTATTTCTGTTTATCCTACTGGGAGACAGATGTGATAAATTTTGGTATTTTTGTATCTATTCCAAAGACTCGCAAGTGATATTTAAGTAAATAAGTAATTACATATTATCTATGTATTATCTACACTGTCCAGTCTCCCAGCGGTCACCGGTGACCGCTCTCGACTTACTACATTATAGAACTTATGTCCGTTCTTTAGAGACTTTTTGTATGAACAAAATGTTGTTACATATGATTTTTGTAAATAAGTAAAATAAACATAATATTTTTCCATTATAAGTAATTTATTTATTTCTATTTAAATACCTAAACATAGAAATGCCGAACCTAAAATATTTGTATTAATATAACATAGAATGTACTACTTATAGAACAGAAGTATGCAAACAATTATCGACCTTACGTTAAACATTTTAAGTTCGCATTAAAACTAACAATTAAAACAAGTATATTTCTAAACTAAATAGCTAAATATACGTTTTGGACCTTCCTTTGAACTATTTTGGCTGATTTTGGATAGTAGTCGAGGAGGTATTTCCATTGGTCCAACTTGAGATACACGATGTCGACGACAGTTCGAGCTCTGAAGGAAAAATGGTGGACCACGCCCACAAACAAACCCTAAAAAGAAAATGAAATAGTATAATAGAAAAGCAGATGTTTCCAGCCATACCAAAAGTTGTACTTGGTTTGAAAGAGTTTTTATTCTGGCGGACTGTTTCGTTATCAAATCAATCTATGTAGCTATATTGGTATGGATGGATATTACATCTTACCTAATATTTATTAAAGTTTTTAGTAGTACTTTCATGTGATTTTAAAGGTTTTAGCAGTTCGTTATATTCATCTGCCACCATTTGATTCTAGTACTAGACTGCAAATACAGATAGCTGACATAATGGTCAGCTGTCTGTATTTGCATTTCTCATTTTAAATCTTGCACATCTATTTTTTATAATAACTATCGCGATACTTACTAAATTATCTAAAAAAATCGCGGGTTACACACGTGAATATATTGAGAAAAGCTGCCACAGAGGGCTGTGGCTCGATACTAGTCGAGCCCCTGCTCTTCTTCATGTGCAGCGTAGGCGTACAGTAGGCTGCTCGACATCGCAGCGACGTTTACGTTTTTTAGTTCATATATATTTTTTACCTGAGCAATACCAAAACTGTCTTCTGGCCCCAAAACATCATAAATTGACTCGGTCAAGTTCGGGTGCACTGTGAGCACCTCGACCTGAGGATGACAATAACAAATGATTCATTGAAAGAGTAACGTCGTGATCTATTCGGCTGCATAATAATGATTAATATAAGTGACATATTGGCGGTGATATCATAAACGTAATGGTCAGTTCATATTGATGCAACTTGCGGTCAGTCTCAATGGGTTACGCCTATCATGGTAGATGTCCCACCAACACGCACAAAGCACTTCGCATCAAGCTGCCTTGTGCGTACCGCTAAGGAGTGGGTTTCTTTGCCAGTCTGTATTTCCTGAAGGCTATAACCTGGGCGTCTTCAAGGCCCGAGTGAATAGGTTGCTTATGGCCATCGTAGACCAAATCATCGCTTACCACCAGGCGAGATAGTGGTCAAACGTCAGTCCCATCTAATATAAAAAAAAACGCCCCAATACTGAAAGGCTACTCAATTTGAAGTTGTACTTAAAAATCGTGCCATCTCTTTCATTTTACAAAGAATATGTAGTGACAGAACTATACTTAAGACTTTGACTGCCAATAAAAAACTGTTGAAGGTAAATCTTCCGCTAACGCTGGTCACCGATGACCCCCATGGCATTTAACGTGTTAAGTGGGATTTAAAATTGAGTAACGTTTCAGTATTCGGGCATTAGTTTTAGAAGTTTGAATTGTGTTATATTTTGCTTGGAGTTGATGCCCAAATTCCGTCTCTAATAGATTAATCTACTTACTCAAGTTAAGATAGGTTAGGTTACTGAGACTGTTTTCTTTTGCTGATGGGTCTATTGAAAAGGTACAATTGCTTACAATACTTCGATTCGCGTACTTTCGATTTTTAAATTTGTATGGAAAAGAAATACTAATAGACGAACATTTTGACATTACATAGAACATTTTTTAATGTAGTTCATGTGTTCAAAAAAACATATTTATTACTCAAACTTAGTTACAGTCGTGTGTTTAAGTTTAGTCAACGCTTATGAGATCTAGTCCTAAGAATGACGTCATAAGCTTACCTGTCCTCTATGTATGAAGTAGATGCATTGGTCTGAGTCACCGCACTGCACGATATAGTTACCAGGAAAGAAGACACAATGTTTCATCCACATGACAAGCATACGTCGAAAATCGTCATCAGTTTTGCTGAATATGACTGATTCTCGTATGTGGGATCCGTAGACTGCTTGCATTACTTGACAACGGAGTCGGAATGGTAGCTTGTAGACTAGGGCTGGCATCTATAGTGCGATAGTGTTATTATTAATGATCAAAAATCTTTGTATCGATTGGAAACTTAAGTCAGACTGAATTGAGATCGATTTTTGCTTTCGGTTGTTAGTTGTAGATACTATTGGAGGCGTGGGGTCTTAATCGCCTACTTAAAGGTCAAAGCCGGAGTCTATAAGTAACCTATACCACAGTTTGTGGCTCCTGAAACCCTTGAGTTAGTATTAAACGGCTTCGTTGATTTAGTTATAATATACATATATTATTGGTATAGTTGTATAGTAAAGCCGCGGCGCACCCCTTGGGAACCCCTAGTTGACAACTATACTATAGTTGTTTACTGACACAACTGCTGTACATAAGCTTCCAGGTGCGATTTGCGGATCGAGCAGAGTTGTCTGTGGCAAGGGTTCCTATTTTATATAGTTTCGGAATAATGTCGGGCTTATAACGATAATGTCGCTGTTTAAACCATTATACGATGTGATTCGCTATAAAAGTCACTACTATGTATCCAAAAAAGTCTCTAGAATCTTTTGGGTATCTTTATTTAAGCAATTTTTCTCTACTATAGATTCTGATTTACACGATTAGCAATCGTTGGAAGTGGGCGATCGTCCTCGAAAATAGCTATATGACCAATTAAACAATGAGAGGTTGCAACGGGTCAATGGATGCGAATTTCGGTAATAAGACCAAATAGATTAAAAAAAATAATGGCTTTGACGCAAAAATTTAATGAGGAAGTTGTAAAGTTTTCTATGGAACAGAAGATATTCTGGGTTCGTCAGTTAGGTCTTAGTACTAAATATAAAGATAGTTTTGCGTAGGTTCCCCTTCTTCGGCACATTGAACTGAGTAATATATGATCACTCTACTGCATGTTAATGTAAACGCAAATCCGAGAGTAAAAATATCTCGCTTCAGTTTCTAGTATTGAAATACTTTTTTCTAGTTAGTCACAATTCTTTTTAGTGTTTCTTTAACTTAATGTAACAGAGAGTATTTGTTATTCTTTTGCTCTTGTTAAGTATTATAATTTTGATTGTGCATCACTAAATATTGCAGTTGTTTTGCGCTTAGCAATATTAATCCTCTGGTGTTGCGGGTGTCCATGGGCGGTGCTGATCGCTTACCATCAGGTGATCCATCTGCTCGTTTGCCTACTATTCCATAAAAAAAAAAATTGTGAACTGTTTGGTGACGGTACCCTTGCTCATCCCGCGATGTCGTAAGAGTTGACTGATTCACTTTATTTATACCTAAACGCAAATACATATACATGTAGGTATAAGTAAAAAATTCAATTATTATAATAGTTTTCCTGCAACTGCACTTAAAGAATACTAAATAAATGTAGACGTTGTGTGTTGCAATGTGCCAATTTACCTGATTGAATTTTAGACTTTGTGTCAAAAGAATAATGTTGAAAATTGAATTAGCAAATTTGACGAAAAACAGTATGTCGACCTATACTGGCCATTGTACAATACATGTTATCAATTTCCAATACAGAACCATTCACAATCAATAAAAGAGATGTCACAGCTTAGGTTGTTCGCCAATTTGGCACCGAAACTGTTGGGCGTATTTCACCTTTAAACAAATGAATGTCGATGCCAAACCATCTGTTTTAGTATTGGCTATTGTAGGCCCTTCCCATTTAATTGGTATGTAGGTATTTTACCTACAATATTTTTTCCTACTCGAAAGTTGCTAATGAGTAAGTTTACATCATAGTTTTTATTCTCCGAAACAGACAGCTTCGATGCTCGTTTCATATGACATTTGAGTCGATTATAAATGTGTTTCAATTGTTACATAAGAATTAAGACTTTGAAATGAAAACGGAAAATCCACAAATACGTAGGTAGGTACTCTAGTAGGTACAATACTGGAATTATACCTTAATCTTTTGCTCAGTTTGTGCGATAACTTAATAATTGATTAAAAATATGCTTTACATTGTCATTGGAAAAAGTAAAAATTGACCTGTTTCCCTTGTTGTCTGTTCCATAGCTCACGCACATAGTCCCACATTTTGCTCATTTGGTGAACACTTAGATCCATATCTCGCAAACCGTCTCTCAGTTCGTTTATATCGTAATCATATGCTATGCGTGATGACGAATGAGCTGTGATCATTGCCGACATTTCTGATATGAGAAGCCCTGAAATGGTATGGTTTGGTATGGTCTGGTATGGTATGGTTTGGAAAAGTTTTAGGAAGTCTTACCTCTTTTTGAGGGACGAACAAAATTAAGCGTGATTATTATTGTTACATACATTCTCGTTACATACATACTTCACGCCTGTCTCCCAGGGGGTAGGCAGAGACTATGGAACGCCAATTGCTGCGATTGGTTATTATTGTTTATTTACCAATTTGAGTATTTCACAGGAAATTATCAAAAATTATCTTTTAACAGAGTTTTTCGCAATAGAAAGCCAAAAAGGTACAGTAATGAAAACTTCTCTAAACTAATAAGATTAAAGTATCATGTGGTTTTATAAAAATCTTGAGGAAAATAGATAAAAAATATTCTGTTTCTCGAGAATAAGTTACGTACCTGTACAGAACTTTATAACAATGATCACAATAATAGTTTCGATGACTTCAAAACTGTTTTGTGACGACACGTCTCCTGTGCCTGTTATTGTTAGCAAGTTTATCATGTACCATAACGCAGCTACGTATAGTGCAAAGAAATTGCCCTGAGAATACAAAGGACGAAAATAGAAAAGGATTATTAGAAACTAGCGGCCTGTCCCGGCTTCGCATGGGTGCAATATGCATGTATTATACCTACATTTAAAGCTTCCTTAAGAATTTATCTATTTAAAAAAACCGCATCAAAATCCGTTGCGTAGTTTTAAAGATCTAAGCATACATAGGGATAGACAGATGGCGGATAGCGACTTTGTTTTATACTATGTAGTGATGACTTATGTCAAAATAAGTGAAAAATTAAAACATTAATATACTTAGGTGTATATCTATGAACATTTTATATCAAAGTTTGGTTTTCACATATACGAAAAGAGTATGTTTCATGATAGTGATACCTCGATACCCAAACAATCAACTCGCTTTATCTCAAGACTTTCATCCCCTCTCGTAACGAGTCTATAAATTATCTACGAAGAGAATCGACTACCTTTTATCGTCTAATACAACAGACTAACCTCGGAATATTTCGCTCGCAAATTGAGAGCTTCCTTTGACATCCAGTTAGCCGATGTGCAGTGCACAGGAGTTAGGCAGGATAGTTTGAAAAACAGGCAAGCGTTGACGTGCGATAGTATTGATGCCCATATAGCAATGGTTCTGGAATTGTTTCAATTTATGAGATAACGTTAAACTGCCTCAATGGCCGAGCGGTCGCAAGTGGGATTGCCGGGCAAGGGGTCTCGGGTTCGATTCCCGGGTCGGGCAAAGTATTACTGGGTTTTTAAAAAAAAATCTCAGTAGTAGCACGGAGTCTGGAAATAAACACGGTATATGGCAATAGGCTCACTCTCTATTACATGGGACTCATAACATAAATAGCGAAAAGTGGGTGTTACTTCTGTGTCCACCTCTGCCTACCCCTTCGGGGATAAAAGGCGTGATGTTATGTTATGACTTTAGGCTACATTTTCTTTTATTTCAATCGTTTTTCGCGCTATACTTTGTACCTAGATTAATATGCTAGCCAAAATTACAGAGTTTATAACACTAATCCCGTCCACCAGTTGGTTTGTATTGCAGGAAGAATAGCTGAATTAAAAATAAAACATGATACTTACGTCAGTTTAAACAATAAATTCGCTGAACCAATGCTCGTTTTTCTATGTGTTCTGGACGTAAATAAATACGAAATTCTAGTTAGCTGAGGCGATCGTGAATAGCAGAACAAAGCCATTTTCATTTTCGGGGACAGTGATAAAGTAAATACTAAGTAGCATATTAAGAAGTTTGCTAGAAAGTCTCTTCTTCGAAGGTATATTTTGGAGAAATACCTGTAAAAACCAAATTATAATTAATAGCCTCTCTTACTTTAGTACAACGTGAATGAATGTAGAAAGACATACGTACAACAGATAAAAAGAGTAATAGTTATTCAAAAGTCCTTACATTTTCCTTACTTTCTTCGGGCTCAAAACATAATCTCCGTATCTATTCATGTAACCAGAATGGATGTCCAGAAAAAGTTTAAATAGAAACAGGATGTCGAATATGACGCAGACATGGAAAAAATATGGCACTGAGAGGAACGCCATTTGGTATACCAGCAACATAAAATCCACGTACGCCAAGAAGAGAATGAGATATTCTGGAAATAAATATATCTTGATCAGTATTATATTTTATTTTGGGTAAGGAAAACCATATATCTCTTACCCATAAAAGTGACCAATGCGCTGTCCGGGATGATGCTGCTACGAAACCATCTGTACACAGTAATGATTAAGTGATTTTGAAGAAAAAATGCTTATGTAGAAATACCTATACCGATTTCTACCTGTTCTTTATAGGAATAAAGGTAAAAAGATAAAGATACAACCTCGTCTTGTCTGTAACATGTAACCGAATATTGGAAACAAATCAGGACTATATAGGTACCTACGTAAACCTACAAAACAAGGATGGAAAAATTTTCTAATGACCCTATGCTGGTAAAAAACTGTTGATACACATTATGTAAGTAGTAAATTTCATTGGGTATTAACCTATGTGGCTTAAAAAATAATAGCGAAGCTGGAACATAATTTATGTTTGCTGATGTGATGGATTTGGAACCGTGTGATTCTGCAATACTCTTTTCTGGACTCTGAAAAGTTGAATAAGTAAGTTATAAAGGGAAATATTTATATCGACGATGTATTACAGTTCATACTCAAACTGTTGCTAGGTATTATATGTACCTCTTAGTTTTACTCCCGAAATATGAAATAATAATTTACCTCTACATAAAGTTCAGGATCGATTTCAAATTCATCTTCTTGCTCTTCTCCAGTTTCGTACGACAAAGGAAAGTTTGTTATCTGCTGAACAGTAAACTCTAAGTATTGGCAGAAGTGCTATTCCTACTACTACTACTAGTTGACAAACATTGTTGGACTCATATTTACATCAGTGCTGCTATTCCTTGCGGACATTATTGTTGGCAAAACATAGTCTTTCACTGCTGATTCAACGGATTCCTTCACCTTTTGTAGTACTGAAGGATAGCTCTGTAAACATAAAGTTCACTCAATAATCGCTTAATTCTATGCATATGTACCAATAAGCATTACATCATCGTTGTGGTACTAGCAAGTACCTTTAACAGTGCGTAGAAGTCTCGCCCTTGAATACAAAGCAAATCAATGTTTCGACTTGCGATCACATTTGACATTGTCATATACTTGGTTGCTCCTCTAATATTACCAAATATTCCTCCAGGACCCATACACGCCTCCACTTCATTTATATTCGACATGATATCAACCTGTTTACGATTAAAAGTCAGTTCATCTGTTAATGTAATATTTAAGAACATTGCAATCAGATTGGATGTAACTCTGGAGAAGTTCAAATAACTAAATATGGCACTCTAGTGTCGTTTTACTAATAAAACACGATTCAAGAGGTCAAGTACGATTGAAGCTGGGTCCTGTGTCAAATGGAGGGAGAGAAATCTATACATATAATAACATTCAACGGCACTCCGTGTTACCCACATATTATTACGATCTCTCTCTGTTCAGATGAATATGTGTATTAATAATCTCTGATTACGACTTCTCTTTCATTACATTAATTCGAATCTAAAATGTTAATTGAAGTTTTAAATTAACACACCTTTCCTCTATAAATAATATACATAGTGTCTATCACTTCATTCGATCTCATAACCATGTATCCTTTCTGGAAGTAGGATTCTTTCAGTTTCTTTGCGAAAGCTCTAAAGAAGGAATACTCGACGTTTTCAAATAATGGGATTTCTCTTAAAGTTTTTTCGTACATGTATAGTACAGCATCTTCGTTTAAATTCGCATGAAGTTTCCCCAGTATTGATTGATGCTGCATGATTAAAGAATTATTTTATGAACGTTTTGAATAGTTTTTTAAAAGCTTCTAAATGTCTGCTAATTCAGGTACGAAAATAATTTACCAATAGACAGAGAAAGTAGTTGGAAGTCTTTATCTCAATGTAATAAAAATACTTACCGACCAACCACCTGTCCTTTTCCATTGGTACTTCCAGAATTCTAAAATAGTCTTTTTAAGTAAAAACGGCACTTTCTCCCTATTTAAGAACATTTCCAAATGTTTCAGATTCTCTTGAAACTTTGTAACTACTTGATCTGCCATAGCTTTCAATGAAGCTATTCTTGCGTACACGTATCTAATAAAGACATATGTTCTGTATGTAGGTATATCTAGTCATCATCATTATTGATATTTAGAATAATACCTAAGCTAAACAATTTGTCAGTAAGTGTCGCACAAAACTGATGAGCTCACCCAAAAAATAAGACGCCATGTATGTTCACGCAAATACACAGTACCATATGCTTTATGTTCTGAGGAATGATATCGCCGAAACCAGCTCCTCCAAAACTCGACGCTGTCCAATAATAAGCTAGTAGGAGCACTCTAGATGGTGACATATGATCTTTTTGTATAATTAGTATTCCGTCTATCCAAGATCCTGTATTAATTGTAATAAAAACTTAAGTACTTTTTGCATAATAATTGCGACTAATGTCCAACTGGTGTCTTTTATTTGTACTGTTTTTCGGATACACGTATTTATTCATATTTTGTATTTAGATTATTAACAATATCAATATAAATCTAACCTTCTAAACAAACCATATTGCCGTCAGGATGAAATGTGGTGTTTAAATAAGGTATTTCTCCTGATATTTTTTTGAGTTTATATTCAAAATCATCCGCGTCATCAGCCTTAACGTATCTACAGGATAAAGTGATTAAAAGGCAAGTGTACAAATTTAGAAAGAATAACGTTATAAGGAGGAAGTGGACCACGCTCATGAAGTATGCCTGAAAAGAAACAATGAATCGTAAAATTTCTGGGGTCTAGTACCTAATATAACTAATATAACTTTAAACCTTTGAGGCTAATGGAAGCATAAGTAATAAACTATACCACTAAGATGTCGACAGATGCCGATTTTCCTACAGCGTTGTGTCACTGTGACGTCTACTGAACACCGCAAATAGGCCCTTCAAAAATGAAGGTCAAGAATTTCATTAAGTACCTGCCATTCACTACGACACTGACATCAGACGCCAAAATTATTATTATAAACCTAAGATGTATTAAAGTGATTCATAAATATTTAAATACTACGAAGAAAAAAACAATAAATGTGCATTTAATGTATGCACTACTTTTTATTGACGGGCGAAAATCATCCAATAGCTTGGGTTAGGAGAGGACTACTTAGTTTTATGTAAAACAGAAGAGCTATTATTACCCTCCTCAAAGCACCAATAGATTCGGCCCAAGAAGCAGCATACAGTTTGACAATCTGTAGTATGTTGATCATTCTTAACGCACAATGGAACATATGTGCATTGACCATGTGGTCTTCTTCAGAATGATCTTCATTATGCTTGGGAACAAACAGTTTCCAAATAGCATACCAAGGAAAGCAAGTAATAAAGTCCACTGTAAATTGGCCCTGTAAATTTCTTATAAATTAAAGAGAATACATATATAATAGCTAATTACGCACTACTATCGGTTGGCTCCGGCTTCACACTGACAATTTTTTGTTTTTAAATAAAATATAATTAACGAAATCGGGGCAGCCATTTTCGTATTTTGCGCTTTGCACTCTTTATGGGAGAAACGAGGATGGTAACTTTAGTACCAGTACGGTTCTAAAAATGAATTGTTTACCTGTAGGTAGTGTTTAGCGGTCATATAGGGATGGTATATCAATTGGTTTTTACATCCATAATATGCAACGTGTAACATCAAATACATATCTATGTAGCAGATGGTTTCCAAAATTATAAGTGTCACGTTAAATGTTCCAAACAGTGGCGCCATACACACAATCACCTTGAAGTTTCAAGAAAAAGGAAGTTGGTTGTAGTATAAGTATACTGTAATGTATTACAGTGTCGAAATAGACACCCACCTAAGCTTTGAAGTGGATGTTCTGTTCCGATTATGCAGGCTGAGGCTAGTTTGTTTAATTGATGGAAATGTAATATTGCACAACTAGTAGATATTCAGTTATATTTCACCTCACTGGTTGTTACCTCGTTGACATAATTATGTATATTTTAAATGGAGGTATACCATTAGCATAGCAAAGAATATTAGAAAGTAAGTACCTATTTCAAACACACTCCTTGTCAGTCAGCCCAATTTATCATGTGCGGTTTTTCACCTACTAATGCAAATTAAGCGCATTTTGGAATAGGGTGAGTCAAACCGTAAATAGCCATTATGATTAAAGCTAGAATATATTCATATTGTTCATAACAAAGCTGCCGTATTTAAACAACTCCATATGTACGGGAGAAAAAATAAAAACGGAATACAAAAACTCGTCTAGACAGTCCTTAACCAGACACTGCAATTTTTAAGGTGTCATGAACAAAACAGAATCTTACAGGTATGAGTAGACATAGTAAAAATGCAGCGGTCATTCGAATGGTCGCCCACACTTTCAAGAATATTCCGTCTGGTCTTATAGCTATAGGCATCAATAAGTATGCTGCTATATTGTTTAGTACATTAAACTGTTTGAAAGATTGCGAATATTTTTGCTTCGATTTCTTATATTCCGCAATGAGGTCTATGAAGGAGTCTGCAATTAGAAGATGAAATTTTCAACACTGGCATCATACCAAAAGCAATTAACAGTCTCAAAATATGACTTTATTTCGAAAGATTTTATGAGTACTTACTGTTGAAAAATTCTTGTAGTATACTAGTGATTTTTACTTTCTGTTTTTTCTCTGTCAGTCGGTTGTAATGTTGTAAGTAGGAGTCCGTGGTTTGCGTTTTAGCCTGTTCTTCTACATGTTGTAGCTCTTCTGGTTTTAATATTCCTTCATGCTCTTTCATGTCTGGGAATAGACTTAATGCCGATGTGTAAGCGTAATGGTTCACACTAACGAGCTGAAAAAAAGAACCTAAATGTAATCCTTATAATTTGTCACTGGTCGTTGAACCATGAATTATTTTACACATTAAAGTTTTAATTTATTGTCCTAATATGTTATTATTCGATTCAAAGATAAAAACGACGTGTGGGAAGAAATTTATACACCTGATTTGATTAACTTGGTACAGATATTAATCAACCAGTATTTCCTTCATTTCCATTTTTATTTGGTCTTCTACTAGGTATTTATAAGTCATGTGGATGTTGTAAAAGGCGATTCAGGAAAATGAATTGCTGTTCCAACCGCCACGACAGATAGGTTTCTTTATGTAAACTGACTAATCCTTTAAGCATCACGGTATTAGAATAACAAGACAAAATTTTCATCGCTGTCTAATACCTAATATAAAAAAAAGGGAACTTGGGTTCATCGTAGTGCTTTTTTCATTTTTGTTAGAAAATATTTCATATTTTATTCTTTTATCTTCAAAATTATCATGACATGTGTACATTCTTTATTCTACTTTATAACGGTCACCTTCGTTGCGACAAAGCTCTGATCGTATAACCTTAAATAAGGTCGGATGGCAGAAAGCGAGCGTGGGAGGACTTCCCACTGCACAGCCCACCTGTAAAAGGTCGCGGGGACCCTAACTTACCTTACAGTGAGTCAATGTAACGACGGTGCTGAGAGTGGGGATTCCGTACAATAGTACCAGTAACCCCACGTGATTGCCAGGGCCTATCACGCGCTCAGAGTTGGACTCTCTCAGTTCATTTGATGTCACTAAACAATAACCGCTCTCTATTATGTACAGCTCTCTTGTCACCGTCCCTCCGTAACATACGATTTCGCCAGGTGGTAAAATGATGTCTCTAGCAGCTGTAAAAAATTTTTTTTAATCTAGAGATGAGGGGGCCATATTACATACCATATATACAATGCGCAAAAGGTGTGCTTCCCTGGTGAGCAGGGTGCGGGCCAGCTCCAACAGTATCCTGAGCATGATTGCGAGCAGACTGGACTGCATATACATGGGACGATGTAATGCCATTTCCCATGGATTAATGTAGGATGTAATAATATAAAACTTTTATTGCACTATAAAACAATTATGATTACATACTAACATAGATGTAAGTTTTACTAACATTTTGTGAGTC